GCAATACTGTAGTGTCATATACAACACTTCTTTGGTTTGTATGTTTGGATTCGTTGTTATTCTTATTAAGAATACAAAACTAATCCATGCAAAAGGACACCAGCCTTGCTTTTTGCCTGAGCAGCAAATTCTGCCTGTGCCTTTTGCGTATGAGCAGAGTCGAAGATAGATCCCGAAGCTGATTTTGCAAGACTAGCAAATGAAAGGTTACTACCAAATCCACTGCCGAACACCTGCGAACAGATAATGTTCCAGTCAGTACGAAATAATTATGAGAACCTTTACCTTTTGTTCACTCTTAGGCTGTGTTGTCGCATCTTTTTCGTCCTTTTCCTCTTCCTTCTTCTCTACAGTGGACGCAGTGCTGGAAGCCCCAAAAAGCTTGCTACTACCAAACAAGGAACCACCCATGCCTGGCGTCGTGGATGCAGATCCAGCTGAAGTCATCAAAACTTTTCCACTTACTACGAACAAAATATCACCAACCTGGTTTGAAAGAGAACGTAACAGGAGTTGAAGCGCTCGTCGCCGCTGTAGTAAGTTGGAGTGGCAGAAGCTTCGGGCTTTTTTGCAAACGAAAACGTGGGCAAGGCAGAACTTCCTTCTGAAAGCATTGCTTTGCACTACCTATAAACACCAAGAACAACCATGCATGAGGTTTAAAGATCACCTGTAGGTGGTTTTGGAGAAGAACCACCGAAAATCGATGGTTTCGCTCCGAATGTAAAACCACTGGACGGAGTTGAGCCAGAGGAAGCTGCTGTCAGAGAGGCTCTAAAAATTCAAACTCTGATTATAAATGTTCAGCCAACTGCAGTTATCAAAATGAAGATTAACGGGAAATTTGTGAGGGAGAAGAAAAATACCCGAATAACGACGATTTTGGTGTATTGGATGACGATGATGGAGTCGTCACAGGTGGGGAAGCCTTAGCTGCAGCCGCTGCGCTCAAACCGAAAGTAAACTTCTGTCCTTCACTTGTTGGTGCTCCGCCGAGAGGAATGCTTGAGGTGGGCAGTGTTGACCTAAATAGAAAATAATCAGCTAAAAAGTATTGCACGTATCGTCAAAAATCGAAAGCATTTTGAAATATATGCACTGGAACGAGATAATCGAATGACCGTTGAACCACGGGTTTGAGCAAACCGGTACTAAACCGGCCATCAAAACCGAACTACGGCGCTAACAACCTTAAGGGGAGGGTTAACCAATCAAGTGATTGTGAAGCCTTCGGCCTAGCGGTTCATTGCCGATATCTAACGATTACGGCTGACCGGCTCACCATGTTAAACGTGTGAGTGCTGTAAGGCTACGGCATAAAAGCCGTTGAGCTGAGAGGGTAAAAGCGGGGTGGCGTAACGGATAGCGCACTCGCCCGGAAAGCGTGAGGTGCGGGTTCGACTCCCGCCTGGGGCACGACTTTTGCCCACAACTCAGCATTCTTGTGATAACTTTCGGAACGCGAACTGCGGCGTAAAACAGCAGTTATCACAACAAAACAAATCAGAGGATTTTTCGTGCAGAAGTAGATTTGCCACAAAAACGTTGGATTGTGGGCGAAAGTCTTGGCCCTAGATGTGGGTCTCAAACCAGCACCTCATGCATTCCGGACGAGCGTGCTCTCCGCAAGTTTGTTGTGAGGTGCAAGTTCGAGTCTCAAGCGGTCAAGACCATAAACGTATGAATGCTGTACGGCTACGGCATGAAGGTGAGAGGATAAGAGCGGCACTGGTGCCGTGAACCGAGAACGCTTCACCCGAATAGCGTGAGGTGCTGCCTCGAATCCCGCTTGGGGTCAAGACTTTTGTCAATAATTCGGTATTCTTGAGGTAAAACAGCTAGAATCACTATTATGGAGATGGCTTTTGCCTATACCTAAAAGAAGGGAAGCCCCAGGTTGGATGAAGCTCTCTCCGTATGATGTTCATACCAACTGTGCACAGAGAGGTGTTTTCCAAACCCTCATGGTTGTTGGTACAGAAGCTTCATGAAATCATGAAATCGGATGAATGTTACACCTATCTTTGCCCTTTTGGTGCACTCTAAGGCTGACCTGGCACTCCCGCTCAAAATGATGCGCTCAGCATTGTGCCCAGTCGCGAAATAAATATTCGGGGGCCGAAAAGTCGGGGAAAGCCTGTTAAATAGGGGGCATGAAGACTGCATGTGAGCCCCTCTGCAAAATTGAATCTGCAACGCGGTTTTCTAGCTTGAGTCTTAGTTCGTAGAAGAAATAGGTGCACCCTCCCGTCCCGAGTTTAGGCAAAAATTTTCGTCTCCATCTCCGCGTTTCGAACAAGCGCACTAGCACAGGACGGACTCCCCTACTCAGGTTTTGTTTTTGGCTTATTTTTACAATTTTTTCTTCGTACTGATGTGTTAATTGTGAAAATGTATGCTAGTAGAATATAAACAGTCGCAAAAAAAACCGAAAAAAAATATGAAAAGTATGAGCGGGTTTTCGCAATACTGTAATGACCGAAAACAGGGGTTTCCGCTTGTACTCCCCGGAGTACACGCCGCCGCTGACTTCTTAACCGACTTCTGTCCAGTAGCCTTACTCACAACAACAAAAAATAGTATATATGAAAGACAATACAGTAAACAATATACCTAGGAGAAACAATAAGAAAGAAACTTACTTAGTTGCAGGAGCCGGCGCCTTATCTCCTCCTTTCGCAAATCCACAGCAGGGGCACTTGTCTGCAGCTGTACGGGAGTAACATTCTGGGCATTCCCATCTATAACACCCCGTTCTCAATTCCGAAACCATATGTAACAATTAACAAAGTTAAAAACGCACTGTCCAGGCTGTAGCTTAAACTGGTCTCCATAGCCCTTCTGCGAAACGTTTTCCTTACTATCGAGCTCCTTCTCTTCCTTCTTGTCCTCAGTCTTCTTCTCGGTCTCAGTCTCATCCTCTTTCTTAGCTGACGACTTGTCCTCCTTCTTTTCAGTCCCACTTGGCTTCGCAGGAGAAACTGCTGAATGCTTGTACATTCGTACATTTTCACAAAACATTGTGCACAATGTCGCAAGAACAGATCATGCCTACCTGGTCCAGCATTCTTGACAGCATTTTCGAAAACTTCCTTGAACTTATTAGCTACTTCCACACTTGCAAATCGAGCCGAAAGTTTTTCGTGAACTGTTTGTCCCTCGGAGAAATCCTCACAATACCATGTCATAGCTTTTTCTTGGCGCTGCATTACTTGTATTGTCATTCCAGGCAAAAGCTGATGGTTTGCGCACACCTTCAACACCTAAACCACAGAAGATTTTCACGAATCCTTCTGGATTCAGAACCACTAGAGTAGCGGATAATACCAACCTGCTCTCTGCGCATAACAATACGACACTTTTTCGTACTGTTGTTTTCAAGCACTTTCATAACGCCTGTTCCTCGTTCCTTCCACTCACAAGTTTCATTACAGTAGCGATACAGCTTACAGCGCTCCTCGAAAATCACCTGAAC